CCCCTTCAGGGTAAGTTGTCTCTCAGGGCATTGCCCCTATCACAATAGTCAGGAAAACTATGTAATGCTTTTGTTTATCGTAAAGGGCTTATAGTAAATGGCAAACAAAATCTTTAAAAAATATAAATAACTGTTATGCAAATAACATTTTAATTAACTAATGTTTCATTATTCTAATTTTTATTGCTCCCTGTACATATTTTTCAGCTTTGGATATAAAAGTAATTAGCCTCACAATTGTAGTAGCTTTAAATGACAATAGATGATTAGCTTTGAAATGTTATAGAAAAAAGATGTATGTGTATGTATGCATTATGAATACATATGACAATCCTGTGAGGTGTGAGACTGCAGTTGCAGCTCTGGACTGATGCTGATCCAGGCACCTGAACTGCCAATAAAGAGGTTGTTTCTCTTGTGTTTTCACTGACTTCCCAGGCTGGGAAAAGGCTGTGTACAGAAAAAATATGCACAGCTTAAATGAAGAGGGGACAAGAACATGACTTGCCAAGGCATGTGGAGAAGTTTGGAATGTGAGACCAGAGGTTGGTGTAGGGGAAAGAGAATATGGGCCTGCGATTTGGGAAGGGGTAAGACACTAGGACTAAGGACCTGGGGACTGGGGAAAGTGGGAAAACAGATAAGGAAGACAAATCTGATAAGGAGCTAGAATGCTGGGGGCTTGTGGGATTGCTTGGACAAGGAGATTGGAACAAGGCATGGGGATGGGGAAACTGAAGTTAGGCCAGGAGTTGCTGGGGAAGGGGACTAGAATTAGGATGAGAATCCTTGAGGACTGGAGATGGAGACTGGTGGGCAGAGGAGAACAGGCCTGGGGTTACATTACATGGTGTCAGGGATGGGGAAGAGACAGGGCTGGAATATGGCTAGGTTGGGGACCAGGCAGGAAGGACGTAGCAGGGGCCAGGTTGACCCTGTACTTACCAGAATGGTAGTGGCCAGCACACTCCTCAGAAGGCAGATCCCTGGCTAGGCTCACAGGTAAGTGGTGAGCCTGTGCACCCAGGGCATGCTCCGCTGCACTGCCAGACAGGCAGCCAGCATGCAGCAGACATCCTCTGGACCTCGCTCACAGAATGGGGTGGAGGTCAAAACCCCAGTCCCATGCAGACTCAGGCCGCAGCCCAAGAAGAAAGCAGGCAGCTGGTGTAGGAGGCACTGCCTAGGGCCCAGAGGCAACAGATGCAGGAAATAATGAGCTCCTCTTGGGCTCCCAGCACCTATCAGCAGCAGCAGGGCATGTGGGGGTGAGTAAGGGTCCAAACTGGCTCAGACCAGCCCAGGAACCCTTATGTAAGGACGCATTGGTCCCAGGAGAGGGGGAATGCATGTACAGATGAGGCCTCTCACTGTACATCCCCACATAGGAAGAGGACCAGAAGCCAAGGACCTGGATCACTCTGGCTCTCTGGACAGATTCCTGATTGCCACTCTGCCATAGGAGGCCAGATAGCTCTAGGGGCTACTCCAGGATTCAAGCTACTCCTGGCCCCACATTACTCAAAGGATTTGGCTCAGAACAGACTGGCCCACTTGGACTGAGCATACACAGGGCAAGCCCTGGAGGACCGGAGTTGCCTGAGGAAAGGTGACCAAGGTGACCAAGGTGCACTGCTAGGCCAAGGAAAGGCATGAAGCAGACTAGAACACAGCTATTTAAGGTGTTATAAGGTTACTTGTTTCTTTTTGCGGGCCATACACTGCTGATCCTGGAACTTCAGTAGAAACAGGTGAGCTCAGCTAAAACACTGACTCTGAGCAACACGGTTTCTTCCTATCATGGATTCCTTTGCCTGAGCTGCAAGGCCAGATGCTTAGGCTGTCTAAGTGTCTGCACCAAGCACTGACAACTGAGTGGGAAGGGATGGGGTGTAGGGGTGGAGGAACCCCATGGAAGACCCACAGATGTTGTGACCCACACCAGTCTCAGCCAACTCTGTACAAGCAGGTACCACCTGATACCTTGTTCGATTACACCAAGTCGTGGTAGACGAGATTTGAAAATAAGAGAGTGAGATACCTGCTGAGTGTGTGGCACACAGGCCCTATTCCAGTGTAGCCGCTCAGCTTGGGTCCCTCTACAGAGGGTCACACTTTGAAATACTGGACAGAAGAGTCTTGGTACTCTAGAAACCATTCCCTTCCACAGCCTGAAGCAGAACCCAAGATATTCATAAGGTTGTATGAGATTTGAAACATCCTCTGCAGCCTGACCTGTGTGTCCTCACCTGTGTCACATTTCATTCTTAAAGACTGGCATTTTCATCCATCCATCTCAGAAACCTCATGGTTGGGCAAGCAAAATGTCAGAAACAGTTAAGATAACTGACTCTGTGAGTATCTTTGAAAGAAAATATAGGGCAGCAATTTTCACCAATAAGTCCCTGTGGCGGTTTCAGAATGATTCCACATGCCCCTACAGATATCCTAAAAGCATTGTTTTAGTTAACCATTTATCTGCTGTACATTGCCTGGGGCATTAAGTTAGTAATGGCATAGCTGTGGTGGTATCAGCTTGTCACTCATCAGTACAAGCAGTCTAGTCAGGACGCATCCTCATTCTTTGATTTCTGTCAAGAAAGCACAAGCCACACGGGGTAAAAAAGTCATGTTCAGAGTGGTCTCAGCCTCCTATGAAATCTGCAGCCACTGGAAGGCTTCAGGTTTCCCTTCTATTTTTGCTACAATGCAAACATGTCTTTTTTTTTCAAATGAGCATCTCACTGACCCCTCCAAAGCAGAATCTTCTTCCCATGATTACTAACAAACAAAGAGCCGAAGGCTCCCACTTCTATTGTGCTTACAACACAATAGCCAAGGTTAGTGAACAATAGCTAAAAATACGCTTTTGAAAGCTGCCAAGAGAATAATGCCTGGCTCCTAATGAAAAGGATGGAAATGATTTCTAATGTCTGCCTTGACACCTCATGTTATCATACTTTAGATTACTTCAGTCGGGGCGGCTATCAGATCACATATCGCTCTGCAATGGGAACACTACTGCAGCAGCTGAGCCAAAGCAGTGTACCCAGCATAGGTACAATATTTTTCCTCCTTCCTCCCCAGGACCATTGTCATGTTATGCAATCCCAGGGTTCTTCTCCTACTACTCTTTTAATGTGGACCTCAATGCATGTTACCTCAGTGGTTAAATCTAAATCTGTGCATTTCCCATTGCACCATTGTGATCTATGGGCAAGGCTGGAGAGATTTGATAGGGTTTCTCTTCAGCACTAGATATGCAGATGAAAAAGAATCTAGTAGCCTTCAGGTATAACCCTCTACAGAGGGATATTATAGATTGAGGAAACAGTTGCTATTACAAAGGCATTTGGTTTTCGGAGATAGTCATCAATCCATTACCAAGAATTGTAATTAAAAGAATGTGGAATTTCTTTCTCTCTGCCATCAATAAAGGAGGACTGTAGCCATTCTCATTCAATTAATTCATCTTTAACGACTGTATATAACTGTGTAAAGGAGAAATATGAAATTTGAGACCCAGAAATAGAAGAGAAAAGGAAAAATTAGGCAGTAGCAAAAAGAAAAAAAATGGAGTGGCAAATCAGCTTTTCTGAGGTGAGACCTAGTTTTCCCAACTTGCAGTTAGGTTTGCCATAAGGGAAAAGCATCTTTTCATAGATTCAGAGATGCTAGGGTCGGAAGGGACCTCAACAGATCATTGAGTTTGACCTCCTGCCCTGGGCAGGAAAGAGTGCTGGGGTCAGATGTCCCCAGCCAGATGCCCATCCAGCCTTCTCTTAAAGACCCCCAAGGTGGGGGAGAGCACCACCTCCTTTGGAAGCCCATTCCAAATTTTGGCCACCCTTACCATGAAGAATTTTTTCCTGATGTCTAGTCTAAATCTGCTGTCTGTCAGTTTGTGACCTTTGCTCCTTGTTACCCCAAGGGGCGCCCTGGTGAACAGAGCATCTCCGATCCCTTGCTGCGCCCCACTAATAAATTTGTAGGCGGCCACAAGATCATTTCTCAGCCTTCTCTTGTGGAGGCTGAAGAGGTCCAAGTCCCTCCATCTCTCTTCATAGGGTTTGTGCTGTAAGCCCCTAACCAGGTAAGTGGCCCTCCTCTGGACCCTTTTGAGTCTATCAACATCCTTCTTGATGTACGGCACCCAAAACTAGACGCAGTACTCCAATTGCGGTCTGACCAATGCCGTATAGAGGGGAAGTATCACCTCCTTGGATCTGCTGATGGGTGATAAAGTGCGATTAGCTTTGCTGATGATTTCGTCACACTGATGGCTCATGTTCATCTTGGAGTCCACTATGACTCGGAGATCCCTTTCCACTTCTGTGCTGCTGAGAGGGTCACTTCCCAGCCAGTAGATGTGCTGGAT